TTAAAGAACTATTTCCAGCTATTTCAACCTCTCTCTTCTATTAGATTAATACAATTCTCCCTACTGCATCATCCTCCTTAGCAAAGAAACATGTTCTTAGTTCAGCCATACTAAATAAAACCAAAAACAAGAGCTTTCTATTAATTCAACATCTCTTGCCACTTATTACCTCTTTTTTTCTGGTCCCCTTTATAGCAAAGCTCCCCCAAATGTTTTCATACACAGTTGTCCAATTATTTCTTCCTAGTCTCTCTTAAATTTATTCTATCAGGCCCATTTCTTCACCAAAACCACTCTCATCAATAACACTACTGACCAGGGCCAGCTTCACGGTCATGCAATACTCTCTCCCTAGTTTACCCTACCCTCTGTATTTGCACGGGGGCCATTCCTTACAATGGCTCTGAGTTTTGTTGAATGTTCTCTCACCATCTTGATATTCTTAATCCTTGAACAAGGACGCTTCGAGTTTTCTTTTTGCTATGGCCCCACAAATTATATAGCTCCGTTTTCATATCAGTGACCTTCATGTTGCTAAAGCCAATGGTCAATCCACTACATGTATTTGCTATGGTTTGTATATTTGTCCCCTTCAAACTTCATGTTGAAATTTGATCCCCAAACATTGGTGGTAGGCCTGATGGGAAATGTTTGAATTATGGGGGTGTGTCCCTCATGAACAGATTAATGCCATTCTTTGAGAGTAAGTGAGTTCTTACTTCATTAATTCCTGCAAGAGGACATTGTTAGAATGAGCCTGGTACCTGCCCCCCTCTCTCTTGCTTCTCTTCTGGCATGTGAAATCTGTACACATTGGGCTCCCCTTTGCCATCTGCCATGAGTGGAAGCAGGCTTAGGCCCTCAGCAGAAGCTGAGCAGATGCCAGCACCATGCTTCTTGCAGAACTGTAAGCTAAATAAACCTCTTCACTTTATAAATTACTCAGTCTCAGGTAATCTTTCATAGCAACACAAAACAGACTAAAACAATATCATACTTGACATCAATAGCATATTATAAGGTCAATAACTCCCTCCTTTTTGATATATTTCTGTTTACTTGGCTTCTAATATACTTTACACCTTTTTCTTTCTATCTCAGAGACTCCCTTTCGGTTTTTTTCCGTCTCCTGGTTTCCCAGATTTACAAATTTGGACCCAATTTTTTCTCCTATTCACTTTGCTAGATGAGCTCAGCCAATCTCACAGTTCTAAATACCATCTATATGCTAATGATCATCTAACTCCCAACTCCCTCCTCAGCTCCAACAGTCTACTTGGCCTTTCTATTTGGATCTTAAATGTAGCATGCCCAAAATGTAACTACTTTTCTTTCCTACACCAAATCTGATCTACCAATAATCTTCCCCAGTGTCTATGGCAGATATTCTTCCAGTTGCTCAGGCTAGACATATTAGAATAATACTTGACCCTTGTCTTTCTTTCATATCCCACATCCAAGCAATCTAGTTTGTTCAACCTTCAAAATGTTATCTGAAATTTAAATTACTTCCTATACTTCTTACCTCTTATGGAGATTACTGAATTGGCCTCCTCCTTGGTCTCCTGGCTTCTATCCTTGTCTCCTTACATTTCATGATTTACTTTAAGCATAGTAGGGAATGGTCCCATTAAAACATAAATCACATAACACTCCTGTGCTCAAACACTAAATTACTTCCCTATTTCTGACACAAAAAAATCTGTAGTCTCTAAGGTGGCCTACAAGTGTTATAAATGGTCTGACTTCTTCCCACCTTGTCTCTGTGTGCATTTAAAAATACGTTTTCTTCCCTTTATTGGCCTTCTTGATATTCTTCCAATTTACCAGATACACTCTTTCACCTTAGGGTCTATCTTCTTTGTTCCCTCTTTTAAATTTTAGCTCAAATGAAACCTACTATTTACCCTATTGAATATGGTTCCATCCACCCCACTTTGCCTTAATGCTAATCCAGAACACTTATTACTCTCTAACATGTACAGTTATTAATATATTTGCTTATTTTGTATGTTCATTGTCTGACTTTCTTCCATATAGACAGGGTTGTGGGAATGTTTTCTTTCATTGATCTATCTCAAATGTCTGGACTAGAGCCCAGTACATAGTAAATACTCAATTAAAATTTTTTGACTAGATTGATGTTGTTTAATGAAGCCTGGGTTTGTACTACATAGTATTACCAATGAATAACAAAACAACAACAATGCTGATTTCACTAGAGGAAAAAATCATCAAGGTAATTATAAAAAATATATAATTATAGAAAATGTACCATCATGATAACTAAACTCATGCTTTGCAAAATCACTGCTATATATATATATATATATATATATGTATATATATATATATATATGAATATATGTTTTAAGAATACATCAATTACATTGAGTAGTACCTACTATGTAGAAAGAAAATATCTAAGTGCTGAAGAAAATACCATCAGTTTTATATTATATTAGCTTTAAAAACTAGTGTGTAATCATGGTGGTGGCAGACATTGCTTTCGTGTCAGAGGTGGTACATATTCTGAGAAAAAGTCTGTGGTGTATTCATGGGTTGGGGTTCATAAATACTCCTGAGAAACTGCTTACAGTTTAGTGCTTGTGTAGTTTCAACTTGGAAATTGGCTTTCTATTTATGGAAATAACTTAAGCAATTTCTATTATATTTGTTAATGTTTTCTGTTTGTTTTTATTAAGCAGTAAGTTGGGAGAAGAACCAGCTGTTGGTTCATGTAAGTACTTTATATAAATACTACATTTATGAAAGATGGTCTTAGGACTACTGACATCCTGAATCTATTAGATAACAGTATTATAAAACTAGAAGTAAGATTTCATTATAAAATTTCTTATTTTATATACAAATTGGTTTTTAATTCATTAATATGATCAACTGTGACATGAAAAAGCTCCTTCCTTCCATCTATTGTTCTATTTTATTTTCTACCCCTAGTATTTTCACTTTAAAATATGACATGGAGAGGACTATAAGGTCATCTTGGACATTGTCAAACATTAACTCCAGCTACTTTGAATAGTTTTGACATTTTCTTTGTTCATGAAAGGGTAAATTTGTTCATATCAGTATGTTTTAAAAACAACACATCTGGACTTGGGGTTACAAAGATGAAGAATAAAAGTACAAAGTAATTTGCAATATGCTGAAAAATAGGGTTTATTTCTCTTCTGTGCCAGTGTTGTTAGTCTTGAGCAATTTGGCTCGGAAGGAATCAGACAGGTGCAACAACCGTGATTCTGCTGGGCTTCCTAGTAGAGCTGAAGATAGACTGGAACCCAAGACAAAACCCAGAGGAAAAGCAACTAACCTCAGCCCTTGCCCAATTTCCTCCCTGCCAGTTATCAGAGTTCACTATTGTTCAAGCTCCAGGGGTCAGACTATGGCAATCTACCAGTGGAATTTATTCTCAATAAGTGTTTTGTTTGGCTCGCAGTCTCGAAAAAAAAAAAAAAAAGTAAGCAACTAACATTTAAAACTTAGGAAACGTTACATAAAATTCCCTTTGTTCAGTTTTTATTAAAAACTGAGAATCTGGCAAACCCAAGTAAGCAATCTCCTTTGGCAATATGCTTAGGGTTGAAAAAAGACTACTTATTTTATTTTGTACAATTGGAATTACCTGGCATTTATTTGACAAGTAATTGCCACATTCTCATTTAGAAACCAGATTTAAAATATACACAAACTGAGGATGCAACAAACTACCATGGCATGTGTATACCTATGTAACAGTCCTGCACGATTTGCACATGTATCCCCAGCTACTTAGGAGGCTGAGGAAGGGGAATCATTTAAATTCAGGAGGCAGAGGTTGCAGTGAGCCAAGACTGAGCCACTGCACTCCAGCCTGGCAACAGAGCAAGACTTTGTATAAAAAAAAAAAAAAAAAAAAAAAAAAAAAAAGGAAAATTTTAAAAAAAAATAAAAAAAAAAAAAAAAAAAAGAAAATTAGTGGAAATTATCAGAAGAAGATAGGGGTTTGGCTTTGGTTAAAATATGACAGGACAACTGAAACAACAGAGAAAGACTACCTTTCTACTTGTGGAATGAGCTCTCTAGTTCTCAGAGTCTCTTCCCAGCTGGCTGCATCCATGAAGACTACTTGCCTATTCGTTTGTGTCCTTGTATGTTCCTTTTCTGGACCCCTGCTCTGTCTGCACAGAGATGGGAGACCCAGAGGTGACAGCAGGGTCACGATGCTGACTAACTCACTTTTCTCTCCTCAAATAAGGGTAAATAGCTGATGGCAACATATCCCTCTTCTAATGAGATTCTGACAGTCCTGGGTGAGAACATGTAAATTCTTTATCTGAAGGGTGGTCCTTGATGCAAGAATCAAGTTCTACATAGGAGGAGGAATCACATTAAATGTTATTATTACAGTCTTATCTAAAGAACATTACCTCCAGCTGCAAAGCAAGGCATTCCCATTATTAAAGCCTCTCAAAGACTCTGCTATTTTCAAAACAGGGAAAGAAAAAGGGAGAAAAAGCAGGGGGAAAAAAAAAACACGAATTAGAAGGACCTGCTCCTTAATTTGGGCTCCCAAAAATAAGAAATGAAGATTGTGTAATGAGGGGAGATACTAATGATTTTGAAAATTTCCAAACAAATCTTCTGAAGCAATCAATTATTTATATATTTTGTGTTCTGTCAAAGTGTTCTTCCTTCTGGTGAAAAAGATGCAGGTGATTCTTCCCAATGTCCTTTCCTATCTGAATCTCTCTCTTCTGCCTCATTTTTCTTTCGAAGTCATCTTTCAGGGAACTTGCTCTGATTAATTCGATTTTAGCCAAACAAACAATATATTAGATATATTAGTTTAAACTTTTTGAGATGATCGATTAGGATCTTTGCATCATATTCACGTAAGTATACTGAATTCAAAGTTAAACTTCATAAGCAGGAGTTTTTACATATCGTAACATAATCATTACCCAATACTCAACACTCAATATTTGGTACTCAATAAATGTTTTTGAAATAAACACAATTTTTATTGTTAATCTTTCTGAAGAAACTAGTATATATCTTTTTACACAAAATCTATCAATAAGAGATGGATTGGTTAAAGAAAAAAGCAAAGCAAAACAAAATAACTTGAGAGAATCCAGGCTTTATCAATATGAGTAATAATTTTTTAGAATGGTGATTTGATTTCACCATCTCAATTCAGCAGAGCCTGTATATATTTGTTACAATGATCTGTATTTCCTATTGCTAGATGGATGAAAGTGAATCCATATAAACCATACCAACGCCGTTATGTGTAACTGGTGGTAAAACTTTATTATTCAAGTTTAGATGTAACAGACATCTTTGCTGCCTGAAGATTGTTTGCATAAGAAATACACCAAGAACATGTTTGTGAGTAGAAATGAACATGCACTATGAAAACAAAATAAAATAAAACAAAAAAAATTTCATGTGTTGTAAGAACAGAACTATTATAGCCAACATTCTAATATTCAAATCAGGACTACAAATTGAATTCTTTTTCTTAGCAACATGAAATCATTCCACATGAAAGACATTTTCTGCTGGTGAATATTGCTGTAAGTTAATTTTACATTGGCATTTTGAGATGTTCCCCCCCCGCATGCCTCCCCCCAAAATTTCCATGTGGTTGTCAAATAGTCCACCCTAAGCAATTTGGCATTTGTTATTGTGATATTTGCCTTATTGGTAGCCATTAAGAAACTATGGTTTTATCAGCCTAGTAATAGTTTTGCATCTTCATAGTCAACACTATTGGCTGCCTAGTTGATATTTACAGCTCATCTTTAAGAAAAATGACCCCAACCTTTCTTGGCCCATGGGAACTGACAGTTTATATAATCCCCTTGGCCACATAATAATACTTGGCACTCGTATGGTGCCTCTCAACCAAGGATCTCAAAGTGCTTTACAAACAAATACTACATTACCATTATTATTATTAATATTATTATTATTAATATATTTTTTTTCCATTTTACAGCTGAGGAACCTGAGGCACAAAAAGAAAAAGTGATATGCTGCAGTCCATATGTGAAAGAAACAACCAGGGGAAAACCAGAATTGAGTGTTGGGACTCTATGGACTAGAAGGACCATTTTCTCTGATAAAGGTAAACATTATTTCCACGGTAAAGTTATTCTTGTTTTTCTCTGGTGTAGGACAGAGTGAAGCTTACAGCTCTCCCTTTCCTTTCAAGAGAACACATGAACGTACATTATCTAGTTTCCATATGTGGATTACTCTTGAATTTCACATTTTCTTCATCCCTGACCTGACATACTTCTGCCCTAGCATATTCCAGAAGTTCTAATTACTGCAATTAACTGGGATGCTTTCTAAGCAACTGTGCCACTTTCAGGAATATGTGAGTCCACTGTCTATGAAACAGTATTGAAAAATCAAAAGGAAGTGCTCTGTGAAGAAGCCATGCCTCTGCCCTTGGCCGTCTTTCTTTGGGAAAATAACACTGCCCTAAAAGTCCCGATGGGTGTCCTTCTATCTTCTTCTCATTTGTCTGCTGATAGAATTCCACCTAACAGTACCTACCTTTGGTTAGAATATTTAGTTTTATACTCAGGTTGCATTTCAATTCCTCAATTTTCTCCTGTATATTGGACAGTCAGCAAGCTTTCACCTTACTGGCTCACCAAAGATGCCTTAAGTGTTTGTTTTTTGTTGTTGTTGCTGTTGTTTGTTTGTTTTTTGCCCCACCCAGAAACAGTAACTAAAGTTGAGCTCCTCTCAACTTTAGGCAAAAGGCTGGCATACAGCACAGAAGCAGACCACCAGCGTCTTTACTCCACATTTCCACCACTGGATGGCAGATATTCCCCCTCTAGAAATGCACTAATTTTATTTACTAAACAGGCAGCAGTTCACAGGTCTCAGGACCGGTCACTTTGTGATGTTTAGCAGCCACACAGCGGGAGGCTAATAATTACTTTAATAGCCATACTGAGACTGTTCAGTTTATTAAGAAAAATGTATTTCCTCAGGCATTTTAAAATATATATACATTTAATATTTTTGGAGCTGTATTTGCATCGGATCATAATAGATTATGTGCACATGTGCAATTATAAACATAATGTGCTACCACAGGCTTCAACAAAGAGCTGTTAAAGATACTTTTTTCCCTTCTCATTAATATTACCTTAGAAAAGAATCCCCATGCTTGTTTTCTAAAAATCTACCTTTACTAAAACAGAACAGTTTAGAACAGAACATCACTATCTTAAAAATTGATTAAAAAAAAAATCTCAATATGTCATGTAGAGAGAATTGGGCACACTCTTTTCCTTTTGAACTAGAGAGTTATCTATTAGAGCTCCATCCTTTTCTCATATACTTGGATTCATGTAGTGTCTCTCTCAATCCACAATGTTCTGAGGTGGGTTGGCTCTTTATGATTTTTCTATCCCAAACAACAGAATGAATACAGAGGTGAGTGATGAGAGAAAGAATGAGAAAAGGAAGAGTGAGAACGCATGAGCTGGTCCTGGCCTAAAGTTTGATCCAAAGTTCTATTTAGAATATAGAGAAATATTTTTAAAAGGTTTTCAGTTTTTAAATGGCATACAATTTTAACTGTCACATCGTTTTCATCACAGGAGAAGCCTTTTCCAAGAGAGAAAATTCCTAAATCATCATGAAAATCCTCATTAATAAAAGGTTCCGTACCATAGCTCATTTAAAATTACAATTTAAGATAAAATATTTCAGAAATCTTAAATTAAAAAAATAAATTTAATAATATATTTTGAGAGATGGAATAAAGGCTTTAATAAGTCAAAAAATAAGGAGTATTTAGTGTTATAATAAATTTTTGTCTCTTTTTTAAAAAGCCCAACCTCTTCTCCACCAAAATATGTATAATAATGAAAGCAAAAATGAAAATAAAATTATCAATAATAAAGAAGTATGGAATAAGATCTATTGTGTCAATGCTATCCAAAAATATTCTACTAAAAAGTAGACTGACCATAAATATTCCAATAGTGATAGGTATTTTCCAATGCTAGTCATTACTACCATGTCTGTCTGAGAAAAAAAAAAATTGAATGAAAATAAAAAGGCATACATGCCAAAAATAAAAAATCTATTTGTGTCCCACACACTAGAGAAATTGCTTAATGAGTAATTTTGCCCCAAAATTAATACTTGTCATATTGCCCAAGTTAACCAAACTTCTGGTGTTTTGCTGATTTAAGCAGTCCACATAGATAATGTTTCTTGAGGATTGCCATGATGCATTTTGTTATTCTTTTTACTAAGAAAATTAAATATTGTGGTTTGGGGAATCTCCTCTCTTTTTTAGATCACTAATTGTCACCTCTCAAGTCTGGCTATATATTTTGAGATGCATCCATCAAAATTCCTAAGGAAGATAAATTACATCACATAATTTGAATGTCAAAGCTCCTCATTCCACTTCTTTATTTCAGTTTACGTGAATATTAGAGCTACGCGACAGGTGAGATCAGAATAAGGCCCATTAACAATGAAACTGAAGCAGAGGACTTAGTCCTGATTTCTGTCTCTTGCTTTCTCATTTCTCTTTTTTTAATATGCAAACAAAAATGCAAGAATGAAAATGACAACACAACATAAGAAAGACATTTTTTAACTTCATTCGCTACAACAGTCACGAACTGGTTGAACTCTACCTGCCATCCAACTTTAAGAAATGAAGACCCGGCACTGTGAAAAAGAAACAAAACCCAAACAAAACAAAACAATACAAAGCAACTGCGAATTAATGTAAAAATGGAGTGCAAATGCAACTACAGAATGCAATAATAACATCAGCGTTGCAGATTCCAGCAACACTTATCAAAATAATTTCTGAAATGTTTCATATGAAACATAGACAAAGCAATAAAAAGAGGATATATGTTTATCATCTTAAGCATAACAATGTGAGTTAAGAGCTTAAAAATTAAAAAAAAAAGTACTTGGAATGAATAGTGCTACCCTTTTTTTCCTAAGTAGGCATAAAAATATTTTCATTTCCTTCTTGTTTTCCATACCATTATAGCAAGAACTTTCATTTGTTTCATGTTACCGGTTACAACTTTAATGCACACACACACACACAAAAGGATATCTACTGCAATAGAAATAGTTGCTTCATTACCTTGTTTGCTACATTTGCAAATGTAAACAGCTAGGCAGAGCCAGAACTGACTCTAATGCATGATGGAATATCTTTGTTGCATACGTACACTGTAGAAAATAATTATTCAATATGTCAGGCACCATTATTTGAAATGTAATACATTAATATTTACTAGAAAAATAAGTTTTTTTTTCCTATTTGTTCTCCCAACTTCTTTAATGAAATAAGTTAATCTGACAGTGCATCCAGTAGCTTGTAATATCTTCTACATCTCCGTGGCAAAAAATAAACTACTGGTTGGGACAATATAATGCAAATTATTAAAGTCAGTCCTTGTACATACATCCTTGTAGCAAGCATTGAGGCTCGACTAACAGCACCTTTAACCAATTATTTAATGTTCAGTTATTTAGCCCTATTTCCCTGAGCAGTTATGCTGAGGAGCTTTCCCTTCATGGATAGTTTTTACAAAGCCTTAAGTATTAAAAGTACTATGAGGACATACTTCTAAGAATCCTATTTAATGCTACTTAACTAAACCTGTATACATTAAATGAAGGGATTGACTGGTACATAAACCAACTGTCAGTCTGTGGTAACGTAACCTTAGACACTGCCTGACCACAAAGTTTGGAAATTATATTTAACCAAAAGAAAATAAATAAATACAGCAGGTTACCTTGTGAAGAAATGCCGTGTGTCCGAAACAAATTAAACCCATGGTCTGACATTTGTATCCATCTATGGTTTTGAATTCAGGGGATTCCTTTAGTTATAATGTGCCAAGTGAGATTAGTAAACCAACAGGAAGCTTAGAAAAGCAAATCCATACTGGTTCATTACACACAAGAAAGAAATACCTGGCTAAAATGAAATAACAGAAGCATCAAGGACATTGTTTTCTAAAATGGATCTATGTGTGGACAAAATGAACCTAAACTGCAAACAAAAGGACTACTGAGTATTTGAACATCTAAAGGACAAAAATATCAGAGAGGGTGTGCATGTGTATGTACAGGCAGGGCTGGCTAAAAACAGCGTGCCACCATCTGTCACGTTTCTTGCTGTACTCTAACCAAGCCTAACCACAGCTCGCGTTTCTAGGTCCAAATCTGAAATACGGCCAATGAGAGGAGACCAAATTGAGAGGGCACCATTTTTCTTTCATTGCCCTGGACCTTTAATTTCCCCTCCTCTGCCTAGGGTTTCATGATACTTATAAATTTAGGGAAAACAATTTATGGGTTTTGGAACAAATGGTCCAATGGCCAGCCCAATACTGCTTTAGTATCATAATATGTAAACCCTTTCACATTCTAGACAGTTTTGGTCTCTTTCTTTACAAACATGTTAATTCTAGTCTGGTGATATCTCTTATGGATTATTTCCCCAGTACATATTGGCCAAGATGGTTTTGACTTAATAGGCTTTAAAACGTGAATGCTTACCATCTTCCACTCTTTCTCACTGACCATTTATCTCACTTTTTCATATTGGTAACCTACTCATCAAAAGAAAGAATAATAAAAGAAGGGAATTTCATGTTGGATAAGGCAGGCTCTATGAAGTATTTTTTTTTTAATAGGTCTTCATAAGACATTACAAGCTATTGAATTTCCATCAAGAAAACCTATTTCTATTTAATTGTGCTAAGTGCTAAGGTTTTACTCTTTAGGTTTTCCATTTTTTTCCACTTGTGCATTGTTCCTATGCAGGCCCCTCTGGATATGTGTCGTGAAGTCATATTTGTCCGTGCAAAGATGCTGGCATATGCTGCACTGGAAAGGTCCACTGTCACCATGGCAACTCATATGCAAAGCATACATCACTTCATCCAGAAAGACAATGCCACAGTGCACACATTTTGTTGAAAGTTCATCTTGAGTACTTCTATCAACTTTCTCTGTTTTTACTACATTCAAGGGACCTTCATTTTTTACATTTGGTGGTGCCTTCGTTTTCTCCTTGGAGGCACCGTTTGCAGTTGGCCCAGGTCTGGAATGCTTGATCGCCAAATCTAGAGGAATGTCATTGTCTGATCCAACAGCTGAAAAATGAGGAGGCAGATTGAAGGTGGGATAAGGCACATAGTTTTGGCAAGGATTTGGTAGGCCAGGCACGTGACTCAAGTAGTGCGGATTCCCAGGAACGGAGAGCTTATATTTACTCCAGAACCGCAACCAATCAGCTTCACTCTGGAAGTCATTATGTACAAAGGGAAGTCCAAAAAGTGGGTACTGGTACTTTTCAATAGGGCTGCCTGGTGGTGAATAATTTGGGTGTTTTGCAGGTCTCATGTACTTTTCTATAGGACTGCCTCTCTCAGAACTTCCTTTCCCTTCAGATACAGATGAACTATTTCCTGGATCTCCAGTACTTTCCTGAGGACTTTTTATCTGAATGTGCAAAGGTTGCATCCTTTTGTGAATATCCAGAGTTTGGCCGACCAGTACTGGCTGTTGAGCAGAATGGCTTTTAGTCAATGAACCCTGGGCTTCATATTTACTTAGACTTGGGAGCGGAATTTCTCTCTGATGACTTTCAGTTAGATGATCTTCTGACCTCCTCTCTAATGGGCTTCCATTGACTTGCTCCTCACTGCTGCCCCTCTGCTGTTTGTTAAGCTGCTCAGCCTGAAGTGCCTCTGGGTTAAGGCGCTTTCTTGTTCTTCTCCTAATAATCTGCTCACCGTTGTTTTGTTTAATGATGTTTAAAGGCCTGGGAGTCTGCAGAGAACACACACAATACACAAAAGGAAAACATTAAAATATACTTTAAAATGTGTTAAAAATTCCTCACATATAAACCATGCTTAAGTTCAAAGCGGGGATAGGCTTTATGCCGTAGGTGTACTAAATCTCCTCCTTTTACCCTAAGCAGGATCCGAGGCAGTAACCAAATGCGCTATTTTAGCCTAATTAAATCACATCCATCTTTGCAGGGGGGACTGAAAACTTTAATCTATTTGAAAACAGCCTTTCCAAATGGAACAGATTTTGAGATTGCATCATTTAGTGATGAAACTGTGTAGAAAGTTACTTGAAGAGATGTGATTTTTCTGAATTTTTTTTTCAATTTTTGAGTTGTGCACTAAAATGCCAACATATGATGGTAACATAAGAGAAACAGATTGATGATAAGAGTGGAAAAATTACACATTGCTATAGGCCGAATACGTTTGTACACTGAAGCCCTAAACCACAGTGTGACTGTATCTGGAGACAGGGTCCTTAGTAGGAAATTAAAGTTAAATGAGGTTGTAAGGGTGGGGCCCTAATCCAATAGGACTGTAGCCTTATGAGAAGAGGAAGAGAAAGAGATCTCTCTCCACTATGTGAGGGCACAGATAGAAGATGGCTTAGTCAAGAAGAGAGCGCTCTTCAGAATTCAAGTGTGCAGGAACCTGATCTCAGATTTCTAGCCTTCAGAATGTGAAAACATAAATTTCAATTGTTTAAAGCCACCCAGTTTATGTATTTTGTTATGGCAACCTAAGCAACTAATACATGCATGCTTCTAAATAATAGCAAATATGAATATAAAATATTCATATCAGAGCATAAATAATCAAAGATAAACTGACAGAATTGTGAGGAAAAGTATCAGGTCATCAAGTAATATAGAGGGATTTTTTTCTTCTTACTTCTACTTCTCTCCCTTTAATAATATTTTATATTTGCAGTGTAGGATTTTACTTATTAATAGGTGAAGCATTAGGTGTGTGTTGAAAATCTAAATTCGTGTGTAGCTTTGGTTTAAATATCTGATCTGTCTCTCTACTCTTTACTTAAAGTAAATGCTAACTTTCATTCAGCCTAAGTATTTTGTTTAGCTTAAACATTACATCGTTGGTATTTAGGGGCATGTTCAACAGGTATTTATACCATATGACTTAAATCCATGGATAAGGCTAAAATAAAAACTTTACTTTCGGTCGGAACTCTTTGATGTATAAAATCAAAAGAATAAATTTGATAAATTAATGCATATTTATAGGTTACAAATTTAGGATTCTCTTTGAATGGGTTAAAGTCTGATTTTTCTAAAAGATTACTGAAATCAGAAAATAATTTATACATAAAACATGACTATAAATAAAAATATAATTTATAAATATAAATTTGTGACTTTATAAAATTATTCATTATATTACATAATATGTAATACATTGTATATTCTATTTGTATAATGTATAATATTATACATTATAAAATTTTAAATATAAACATAAATATAAATATAATAATATAAATATAAATTTTAAAATAAAAATAAATATAAATATAATTTATAAATTATTCCTAGAAGGGATGCACTTCAATTCATAGGCAGTACCTCTTATAGCTTAATCAAGTTCAACTATAAATCCTTTTTGGAACATTTCTGTTGTTACAAACGTACTTTGAAGTAAAGAAAGATAACACACTTGTTATTGACAATTCATTATTAGTTTAAGAAAGAAAATTCAACATAGCTTGGTTATGCCATGTGCAATTATTTTGCTCAGAAGATCCAGGTTTACAAACAGTTCATATTAGCATTATAAACGTATGGATTATTTAATTTATATAGTATAAAGAAACCTGAAATTTGCATAAATTCCTTTTTTAAACTGTCACAACTTTTGTGTCAGTTTTTGACATGAAATGTGAACACAACCTTTATGCATTTCAATGGATGGTTTTTAAAACCCTTAAAACTAAAAACATCTTACCTCTGGACAGACGAATATTAAAATAATTTTTAGAAAACAGTTTATATCACAGTGGTTAAATTACCATAATCTGGCAGAGCAGTAGTTTAATTAATTCTTGGCCTATGATTGGCCAGAGTTCAATTAAAATCATTAATGTCAGTTCTCATTAAATGGAAGCTTATTGCTATGCTTAAATGGTGAAGGTTAAAAAAAAATAAGGTGGTATGCGGTGGGGGGTGGAATCTTTCTACTAGCTATGTGCTAATAACTAAGGTTTTTACAGTTTACTGCCAATTAGTATTGTTAGCAGCATGCATTTTTTAAAAGAGTGCTTCCAATAGTCCATTTATGAGAACGTTTTGTCTAAAATTGTATTCCCTGTAGCCGTAATGTATTCACTGGCTTGTGCTAAGAGCTATGGTAAAATGCCAAACAAAATGAAAAAGGCACAGGGAAATAAATTTCTGTTTACTAAATGGGGGATTCCTATTTTAAAGTCAGCTCTTGTCAGCAGATGAACTTTCTAAACTGAAAAAACAAAATCCTTCAGGAAGTTAAATCCATATTCAGATGGAGGATTTGTGAGTTTTAATTTTCTTACAGAACTCTAACAACTAAAATTTGAGAAAAAGTAATTCAGTGGACCTCCATGAGCCAAAGCCAGCTGCAGAGCTTAAAAGACAAAGTATCTTTGCACCTTACTCTACCCTGGTGAGTGTGCTATTCAGAACTTCAGATGCCTCATTGAAATACCCATTGGAGGCACTGTGGAGATTCATGTGATATTCCCTGTTCCTAGCACAGTTCAGTACTATCCTTCCACATGTGCCCCTCTAGCCCGTAAAGTAGTCAAGATAACTCTTGTGAATTCTGAAGGTAAACTAAAAAATACTAATTCTTTCCCTGCCTTATATTTTATACTGAATGTAAAAGTCCTTTTTAATTTTTTAAACTTTTTGCATATTGCCAAAACTTCTAAAAAGTTTTTTTTCCAAAAATAATTTCACTGAATTCTGATAACCGTTAGTGCAACTATCTGCTGTGAAGTTCCCAGAAATCAATCATTTTCCTCTTTTATATCAAAAGAAGCATAATGCATTACTAATGACCTCAAACGTATCTCCCCATAACATCTAAGCCCCTTTCACCATAAATCACATGTGCACTCAAAGTGACTGTATTAAACAACCCTGCGGGGGCAGGCACTGCAAGCCAGGGAATGGGACTTATCACACCACAGACCAGGCCAACACTGCTTTATAAAGCTTTTCCTGAAAGAGTGGAACAAGTTCTTACCGAGTGAAGCTTCTGGTAGAGCCCACACGCATTGCATACATATCCGCCATTTGCATTCTTTCGCCAGAGAGAGGTCTTTGTGGTCAGGCAATTGGCACAAAAAACACCGGAGCCTCTACGCCTCTGAAACAGGGGGAAAAAACCAAGGTCAGAGGTGAGTCACATGATCAGTGGAGTTAGACCAAATCAACCCAGGAGTTTTGTCTTTAGACTAGCAACAATGACAGTATAAAACCACACTGCCCATAATGAGGTCAGGTTCAATTGTGTTTAATAGGCACCACTGATTTTCATTATAATTAACCCTACAGTGATGGATGAGGTGTGTGGAACACCAAAGGCTTTTCACAGAAACAGCTTTAACTTTTTGAACTTTGGGTTTTATGACTTTAATGATGGCTCCTAAATGCTGAACCCTAAAATATACCTTTTAAAAGTGTCAAAACAAAAGTAAAAAAGACAGAACATGGCAATATGTTTAATACACTTTGGAAAGGAGGAGCACATGCTACCTGAGCTTTAAAATGCAGTCAAGTTTGGAATAAATGTAAACCATTTAAAATCAAGCTTGATTTGTGTGTTTTTGTATGTCATTCATGTAACGTAAATATTAAGAGAATATAAGACACTCAATTCTGGTCTTTCATTTGCAATTGTAAAATCTGAAAGATTCCTCCGTTCCTCAAACCTGAGAGGGTTTTAGAAACTTCAGTCAACTAAAAGTACAGTATTACTAATGAGAACCCTTATCAGATACCTACTTAAGTAAGGCGACATAGACCCTTTAATGGCTATTTATTTTATCTGACTTAGACTTGGAAATCACAAGGGTTTCTGAATACAAACTGATTCTAGTGGCCTGAGTTCTGTAATCAACAGATTCAAAAATAACCTAAGAATATTTAAAACTAGATAATTGGTATTGCTTGTTCCATTCTTGCTATCAAGTAATGATTCCATTAAACTTCTCATTTAGACAAAAGTCAGGCTGTGTTTGTAGGCACAAATACTAACAGGCAGGAAATGGAATTCTCTTGCTGACAAAAAAAAAAAAAAAAAAAAAAAAGCCTGAACTGCAGTTCAGCTCTCCTTTCTCTATGAAGCAAAGCCTTTAATGATAAAGTATGCATGTTAGATAAGGAGTGGAAAAAGTCCTGCTGGAACCTAATTTTATTATAAATTAAATATTACAAATGCTGTAAGTCAAAATTCAGGGATTCATAAAATTTAGGCAATTTATTTTACTCAAATCCATACTGTAGAAGAGTGGTATCCCTGCCAAGAAAATACAATGGTTATAATTGTACTCTGATACATTTCAAATGGAAAGCTTTCTGCAGACATAATTTTGGCTTCAAGACTGGAACACTTTCTTGGCATTGAAAGGGCATTTGATTCATCGGGTGTTTCACAATGTATCACTAAAAAGACCTGGTGAGCAGCCAGTTCCCTATAGGGTAATTTTTCCATCCAGATGCAAGTGCTATCAGAGGCTCTCGTCAGCTAAACTAATTATGATCTTGCAATTGCTGATGCCTGCTCACTCTAACATTCGACATCCTCCATTAATCATCAATACAAGGAAAATGAATGAAACGTAAAGAAATGAGGGCTGGTAAGCTGCACAGCCATAAAAATCTGAAATGAGAGCAATAACTTAACAAGATTGGGGGAATGTTTTCAGTGAGCACAAAGTCAGGCTAACAATTACCCTTTTAAACCAAGAACACGATTTCATTAGTGTAGCAGGTTGTGCTACTTTAGGTGATGTAATAAAAACTAGATTTTCAAAGATAATCTCTGGCTCCCATTTTTCTCTCCCCCTACCTCACCCAACTCCCAACCAGGAATGTATTTTGAGTTTCTAAGTCTCAGTAACAGCAATAACAAATGTTGGGTGTCAAGTCTGCAAGTCTCAATGAGGGCCTACTGAAAAAGCAGACTGCTGCTTCCACCCAAATCAATGAAATATTAGAAGTTGTGTTTATCAAACACTTTGGGGGCTCCCTTTATCCAACGTAAGCTGGGGAGCCTAGTTAGGTTATAATTGTGAAACTTTCCTGAGGCTATCCTGTCATCTTCCTAGATCTAAATAACATGTTTGCAAATAAACACCAACTTGATCCACACAAGGGCTATGCAAATGCCCATTTGGAAACTAACCCACATATATGGCTGAAACTCAAATGTGAATGTGTAACCATTCACTCCAGCCTGCTTTTCTTTACTTATGCCCTGGGTGCTTGATACACCATGCCAAAGCGGGTATAATCCTGATTTCAGTGAGTGTTTCAACCCTTGCACAATTTGGTGCTTAATTCTCTTGCAAAGAAAATGCCTTTCATTAGTTAAAGGGAAAATCCTGCAATTACAGCACTAGTTTCCAAAAGCATAACTTGCTTTAAAAGCAGCACTTAAGACTACAATATAGTTTGCTATATTTTAGGTAAACCATATCACATTTTAAATATATCAGGAGTATTTCGAATACACTTGTTCAGAGTCAGTAGAGCATGGAGGTTAATAAACAGATTTAGGTGGCAGAACACTTGTATTCAAAACCTGTCTCTGCCATTTGCCAGGTACAACACTGGGCAAGGCACTTAACCTTTCTACGCTTGATCTTAGCCAAAAGGCTGAGAAGCAATGGCACTTAACCTTTCAATGCTTAAAGTTCTCCGATCTTTACAGCTACTGCGATTCTTATGTGGATTAATAGATGCAATTAAAACAGTGCCAGGGATGTAGTAAGTGCTCAAATCCTATTTGTCAAGAGGATTCAATTGTGATTTCTTTTGTATGAGAAAAACATTTTGTTAGTTTTCTTTTCAGCCTTTGAATCTTGTTATTGAACATTTGAGAGATGCTTAAAAACATTTGGTTGGGTATTGTTAAATGTATTTCTTTCATACTAATCTTATCAAACATGAGAATGGAAAGTTGAGTCAGAGTGAAATATCTAGGTGTTCACACCTAGAATTCAATAGGAGCATGCTTGCATGGGGGTGGAGAGGCAGGTGAGAAATTTTTCACACATGAAGTTACCTCCCATCTAAACAAATTAAGTACTTTGGTAAGCCTTGTGGAGACTTATTTTTAGTGCAATTAAAATTTCTAGAAGCATCAGAGAAGGTGGGAGAAGTGTATAGTGTCCTGAGCTATGTCACTACAGAACCACATCTTTCTAAAACACCATGCAGATGTGAGCCCTGACCTGGTCACACCGTGTACAATGTAGCCTGGCAGAACACAGTAAGGGATATCCTTTGAAGTTATCAACATCCTTAGCCCAATCAAGGACAGGGCAGGGGCCTGTTACCAAAGGAATGCATGGTCGAAGACTCCCCTGCCCTATTTTCAAAGACAAAGCTTGGATTTAACTTAAAGAAAAAGAAAAGCACTAATGACCTTATTTCATTCATACTTTCTCTTGCATGGCAGTTTTAAAATACTTTGTCACTCTCCTTTGCAATTAGCTTATTAAGGACAGAAATCCTATTTCCTAACCATCATTGAATAGTCTAATAAGCACCTAGGACAGTGCTCTGTAAGGCTAAGCATTAAGAAAGTAGAAAATAAGCCTGCCTGCTACTATTTCTATCATTAGTTTTAGAAAAAATATTTTAGGAAGAAAAGCAGTGTTTCTTTTTTTTAAAAATCCCTTTTAAATGTCTTCCATTCAGGCTGACAAATTAATCTGGAGTTGGACAGAGGTGGCTGATGATGTTGTAGAAACACAATCAAAAAAATTCATTGTCCACTCCTACATTCCACATTTTTGTTGTTGTTATTCTTGTTTTTTTTTTTTTTTTTTTTTTTTTTTTGAGGAGTGCTGCTCTGTTGCCTAGGCTGGAGGGTAGTGGCGTGATCTTGGCTCACTGCAACTTCCACCTCCCAGGTTCAAGTGACTCTCCTGCCTCAGCCTCCTGAGTAGTCGGGATTACAGGCACCGGCCACCATGCTTTACATATGTGAATCTTCCCTCAGTCTGGGAGGAGAGTAAGATTTGTGCTACATTTCCCCTCAGGAATGCCAGTTGGCGTTATCTGCTAGCCACTTACTCCTATCCTTTTTCTCTCCCAGCACTGATCTTATCCATATAACCCATAATTTTCCCCTTTCTCGCACAAGGCGATGGAGGTACAAATTATTATCTCTTAAGATAGCTTGTGGAAAAAGGAGAAATTTATTAATTAAACATACACAGACACACATAGAACCACCAGCAATTTGTGACTATAATGATACAGTTAAAAGAGAGCCTGAGCCTTGTTCTACCTTAGCTAGTACCCCCAGCACCTAGCAAGTACCTGGGATCAGCTCCTTCTCAAAAATACATGTGGGGCTGGGTGTGGTGGCTCACGCCTGTCATCCAAGCACTTTGGGAGGCCGAGGCAGGTGGATCAAGAGTTGGATCCTGTGTATGTTTAAATAATAAATTTCTCCTTTTTCCACAAGCTATCTTAAGAGATAATAATTCGTACCTCCATCACCTTGTGCGGGAAAGGGGAAAATTATGGGTTATATGGATAAGATCAGTGCTGGGAGAGAAAAAGCAAAGGAGTAAGTGGCTAGCAGATAACGCCAACTGGCATTCCTGAGGGGAAATGTAGCACAAATCTTACTCTCCTCCCAGACTGAGGGAAGACTCACACATGTAAAGCCACAAAGAGTAGTTGCAGTCTCAGTCCTGAACTTCTCTAAGTTCACCTTCCACATCTATGTGGTTTCAATGGAGGGCAAGAGTGAAGGGGAACTGCCCGAAAACCCAGATCTACATAAGTCAGCTCAACGAAACTTTCTACAAAAAAAACTCTGGAATCAACAATTCAAGAAAATGATTGTTTGCTTTTCTTTTAATGCTTTGACTAGTAAAATTTAGGCTTCATTTGTGTTGTCTCCAGGCCATTTCCACTGGCTGATAATTTCCTATGTGAAAATGGATAAATAATGGTACCAGTAGTTAACTGCAAGTTTTGAAGCCAGTGACTGGCCTGGCAAGTGCTTTTTAGTGCTAATGGGGACGTGTTTTGAGCATTTGTTCCCTTTTGATATTTCAAACATTATAGCCACAATACTGATTTCATAATAGCAATGTAGGTGATAGATTTGAATAATTATCT